TTTTATTTTTTTATGTCTTTAGTTTTTGTTAAGAACAACTTATGTTCTTTTTTAAAAAAAAAATAATATCTTTTTTATTTTTATTTGATAAAAAAGTTAAATTTGAAATTAACTTTAAATAGAGTGGATAGCGGGGAGGAAACTATACTTCTCGTACCCGCGTCGGGACAGTGACCCCCGCCCAGTCCCATTTACCTGATTAAGTGGATAATTCTCACCCCACTTGAGATGGGACCCCGCAAAAATTGAGTTGAATTGATTTTTTTGACTTCCCTTGTCGTAATCCTCATTTGGTATCCTTCATAGCCATTCATTAGTCTAAATGTCTCTTCCTTCCTATCTAAAAAGCTAAACAGGCATTATACTCAGCTGCTAAACTTGACAATTTGACCTTTGTTAGTGCAAGGACGGCAACAAGGTCGCCGTAGTCATTCTCGTTCCCAGCCCCTTTTTAGTTTTGTCCTTTTGCCTTGCCTCTATCCTCACTTAAGGAGGGACGGAAGAGGGGGCGAGGCAAAGCGGGAGACCCTTGCCCTAGTAGGTTGTTGACTCTATCGTTATTATAATTTTAATATCGTTTGTAGTTGTTCATTCACTTAATTCTCTCCCTTTATGCTTGAAAATTCATCTATACGAGGTGCCCAACTAGGTAGTCTCAGATGTGGTGATTTTCAATTTTACTATACTTACATTCTGGTTTACATTTCATCATGTGGCACACAATTTTACCGTTAATTTGTCTAACATTTAAAATAATCAATGATCTCGATTTTGACACCTTTAAAAATTTCATCTAAGATGTACACAGAGAATGCACAAGTAGATAATTCAACGATTTTTGTCCTGTGGAATTTGACCCTCGGTAGGGGAGTGTTTGTATTTGTATTTGTACTTGTATAAGGAATTGTGTTACTCCTTTTAATTATACTATCTTTTTAGCATAGAATTCAATTTTTATCCTCATTGATCTCGTTATGAGCCCAAGAAGTCAACAACGGTCTCAAGGGCCAAACCTCGAGCGTAATATTGCCAATGTATCTGAAATGACTTTCAAGATGAACTAGTTATTGTAAGAATGTATTGTCAGAATTTTAATACGTTTCAAAATAGGAGTTTCACTCCCACTTCAAATATTCACCAAATACGCTAGGACACGACACTTAGGCTAATTAAGAGTCTTGCTACTTCCACATATCCAATTCGATCTCGCGGGACCACAACTCATTTCAACTAAATAATTTAACGATACCAAAAGAAAATATTAGAAAGGTAAGGTTTTATATAAATAATTTTTTATTGGTCAAAGTTAAATAATTAAGGAATTTATTTTGATAATAAGATAGTCCTCTGAAAAAAGTAATATTTTCACTTACAAGTACTAAAAAATAAGCTGAAAAAATTCATTTCAAGTTATTTTACTCTACCAAACATGCTCAAGTAAAAAAAGGGTGTAGTTGTAAATCACAAGAAAAGGAATAATTAATTCTTAAAAGAAAGTGGGAGTAATTAATATATATTGAACTTTAAAGGACTGGTCACTGGCACATGGTGCGTGTATATTTTATACGGCTATTGACTTTGTTCCACTCAAATTAAAACGACGTACGAAAATGACAACCTTACATATTATTTAATCTTAATTAATTATAATTTATTTTTTTAAATGATGTTAGGAGGGCGCAGGTGACATGCATTTTCACATAACTATGTCATTACGTCCGAGTGAAATGTATTCAGTGAAAGAACTGATCATGTAAATATAAGGGAATGAATTTCAATTTCATGTTAGTTAGAAAATAAAAACTCATCAAACCTATAGGGATTCGTTTTTTATGAAAATAAAGAAAATACAGTTTAAAGCAGTTGTATATTGGAATTCGATTTCCATTTCCACGTTGCAATCAAACGACCAAAGCGAAATTAATTTTCTGGGATGTGAAATTTTTCATGGAATTTGTTACAATCAAACATGACATAAGTATCTAATTTCTTGAGATCTTATTATCGTCTTATTCACAATGTGTATATTAGGAGAGCATGCATCAATCTTGTCCTTCGTGAATTTGTTGTGCAATCCTAATGATTCGAAGTCTATTCTTCCCGTAAGACATGCTTAAGTTGAATGTTGNGCACCCTTTATACTCCTGACCCCAAGGGAGCCTTCCTCCATGGATATTACTTTTCCAAGCTGCTCCACTCAAATTGAGTATTACATATAATTTATTTTTTTAAATGATGTTAGGAGGTCGCAGGTGACATGCATTTTCACATAACTATGTTATTACGTCCGAGTGAAATGTATTCAGTGAAAGAACCGATCATGTAAATATAAGGGTCCGTTTGATAGACAAATGTGGATAGGAATTTCAATTTCCTGTTAGTTAGAAAATAAAAACTCATCAAACCTATAGGGATTCGTATTTCATGAAAATAAAGAAAATACAGCTTAAAGTGGTTGAGTCTTGGAATTCGATTTCCATTTCCACGTTGCAATCAAACGACCAAAATGAAATTCGTTTTCCTCGGATATGACATTTTTTATGGAATTCGTTGCAATCAAACATGGCATAAGTATCAATTTTCTCGAG